GTTCATCCTCTATCTCTAGCACCAGGAATCACAGCTATTTCAAAGAAGACCTCCTAAGTGCTTGCTGAATGAATGAATGGTGTTCTGGGGGCTAACAACAAGGATCAGATAGACAGTCTGGTCTCCAAAGAGCAACAATCTAATGGGAAAACATAGACCTGTGCCCCCAGCTTCACTGACTATTACTCCCTTTACTCAAGTGCAAAGCATAAGGGTTATCCCAGATTTTTCAAACATTTGTCAAGTCCTTCTGTGACAGGGTGATCCTCAGGAAAGGGGGAAGTTCCAGGTTTCCTGACTCACCCAAAGGAGGGTGGAGCTGAGCAGGGAAATGAGGCTGCAGAAGGGACAGAGGAAGGAACCAAGAAGGATGGAGAGGCAGAAGGAGGCCTGGAGGAGGCACATGGAGCAGAGAGACATGTGAAGAAACTGCGCTTACCTTTGGTCGTGGACTGGGTGACACAGATGTGGGTGAAAGACCCGTGGGGAGGTTAACAATGGCAGCTTTTATCTTGATTTTGATTTTACTCTTTTCCTTCCTGGCTTGTCTGGTTATTTCTGACCCTTTTCTGTGGGTCCCCACTGGAAGATGCTTTAGACTTGTGGCAGGCTTTGGGGCCTTGCTCTGGGCCAGTCCCATTTGGATGGAGTTTTACCCACAAGGGGACAGGTAACTTTGGGTGCTTGATTTAGAAACTAGATTCTTTGCCTTTCCTGTATTGTTTCCTAATTGTATTAAAGTTTCTTTTCATTAAAGTCTCATATGTTTTGTGTTGATGCGGCAGATGGCAGAACCTATTTAGAGCAGGCAGGTTTGCAGGGCCTGGGGTATCCCTCTCCCTGCCCTGTAACACTTCCCAATTGGGTGTAATATCATCTGGATCCTGATTTTTCCATCTAGTCTTCCCCCCATTTTCATGCTCTCAGTCATCCTCCAAATATATATATTTATGTACAAGTGATTGATGTGTTCTGCAACTAATCCCATATTAGTAACACTTAATTTCTTACACAGATAGAAATAAACATGAGTTCCAATATTTCCCCCACACTCTGCTTTGTAGACTGCTACACTTTAAGCCACCTCCAACACAGATATTGCTAAAAGGCAAATATGATTCTCTTGCTCTGTTTAAAATGACCACAGTAATTCTTTAATATCTTTCAGATTTATTCATTCACTCAGGAAATATTTGTTCAATGGCAAACTCTCTGGAGACATTGGGACTACAAAGATAAAGAGTTCTGGTCTACTGAGAGACACTGAGAAGTAAACAAGCAGATAGCACACCAGGCAACAAGTGCTAGGATGGGCTTAAGTACAGCATGCTATGGGAGTGTATCGAGAGGAACCCACCTCGGACTACCTCGGAGGGCAAAGGATGGTTCTCAGCACAAGTGACAACATATAGGACCAAAGGGACAACTAGGATTTGCTAGGCAGGGGAACAGTATGCACAGAGCACCCTAAATTCAGGGAAGCGGAAATACAGATGGCCTCTGACCTGTAATAGTTTGAATCAGGACTTTTCAACTTTATTGTGGTACAAAAGAGGTATGCATTTAATAAAAGCTGTATTTTGGATTTTAATTTTTTTTTTTTTCCTCCAAGCTAGCAATCCTTTCCTGTGATGCTAGGCAGTGGCAGTGAGACAAAGTTCCCAGTCAGTCATGTGACTGGGATGATAAACAACCCAGTCTCTACAATGTTTTTCACTTTCAGTGCTGTGTTCAGTAAGTTACAAGACATTTGACACTTCATTGTAAAGCAGGCTTTGTGTTAAATGTTTTGCCCAATTGTAGGCTGATGTCAGTGTTCTGAGCATTTTTAACATAGGCTAAGCTAAACTATGGTGGCACATGGGTTAGGTGTAGCAAATACATTTTAAACTTATGGTATTTTCAACTAATCATGGGTTTCTTGGGAAGTAATGTCATTGTAAATTGAGGTAGTTCAGACAAGGGAGAGTGCAGAGTGAGAATGAGGCTGTAAAGATAAATGAAAACAAGATCCTTTCTGATTTGGATGCCTTCCTATTTTCTGCCTAATTGTTCTGACTAGAACTTCCAGTGGTGTGTTGAATAAAATTGGCAGGAGTGGGCATCCTTGTCTTGTACCTGATCTTAAGAGGATCAGGTACTTTTCACCACTGGGTCTGATGTTAACTGTATGCTTGTCCTGTGTGATGTTTACTGTATTGAGGTGTATTTCCTCTATACCCAATTTATTGGGAGTTTTCATTATGAATGGATGTTGAATTTTGTCAAATGCTTCTTTTGAAATTTATTGTAGTGATCATTACTTTTATACTTTATTTTCTTAATGTGGTATATCACATTGATTGATCAGCAAATATTGAACCATTATTGCATCCCTGTAATAAATTCCACTGAATCATGGTGCAAGACTCTTTTAATGTATTGTTGAATTCAGTTTGCTAATATTTCCTGAGAGTTTACACATGCAAACAAATGAATATGAACTCCTTTCATCATACCACATACAAAATTTTACTCAAAATCAATCATAGACCTAAGTGATAGAAGCTTTAGAAGAAAATATGAATAAATATGACCTTGAGTTAGGTAAAACATTCTTAGAAAAGACAACAAATGCACAAGTAATAAAAGAAAGAAATTGGACTCCATCAAAATTTTAAAATCCTGTGCTTCAAAGGACACCATCAAGGAAGATAATCTTTAAAATCTGAGAAATGGATTTAGGGCATTATCCAGAAGAAAAAGGATCATCTGAGACAGGACTGAGTTACTGAAAATCATCTCCTCCTACCCTTCCTGAACTCCAGTTTATCTGTGTTGCTGCTTCAAATTCCCACAAGCCACGACAAAACTTTTTAATCCACAATTTGTAAGGAGGCTTGAAAAATAAGATAACCGCAGAGGAGATAATTCAGTGACTTGTGTTGTCCCTAGTAACAGTTTGTAAGTTCCTTCCCTTGAGCTTAGACATTAAGATCTTTCATAGTTAAAATGGAGTTACTGCAGGAGGTGGCTAGTCACCAGTCAAGTCTGTGTAGTGTAGCCTTGTTGGGCATTTTTGGAAAGTTGCAACTCATCTACATAAACCAAATGTTTTATCTCATAGTTCGTTCAGATAAAGTACTTTTATAAATGTTCTCACTCAATGTCACGTTTATAATACTACTGGCAAATTCTGACTGACCTCTATGAATTATTATACTTGTTATCTACCAAATTCCTCATATAAATTATCACCAAGGGCAGGATAACCAAATACATTAGCCGCAGCAACAGGAATTAAGGGCAAATCATCTTTAAGTGTTATGAAAACCACAGGTGAATGGATAAACAAAATGTGGTATATACATGAATGGAATATTATTCAGCCCTAAAAAGTAAAGATTCTAATTCATGCTACAATATAGATGTACCTTGAAAATATGCTCAGTGAAATGTCAAACACAAAAGAACAAATATGATTCCACAAATATGATTATTTTAAATACCCAGGATAATTAAATTCAGAGACAGAACATATAATGGTGGTTACTAGAGGCTAAACGGAGAAAGAATTGGGGAGTTATTGTTTAATGGCTATAGAGTTTCAGCTTAGGGTGATGAAAAAATTTTGAAGATGGATACTGGTGATAGTTATACCAGCAATGTGAATGTACTTAATGTCACTTAATAGTGTACTTAAGAATGGTTAAAATGGTAAATTTCTGTAATCTAATTTTAACATATATAATAAAAACAGTTCTGAAAAAATGGAGTAGGATTGCTGGTGGAATCTACTTCAAGATGAGAAAGCAACCATGTATCTAAGACAATTTATGTACAAATAGATCTATAAAAGGAAGTAAGATGGCTGGAATGGGTGAAATGACCTCTGATTATTCCTTCAATTTATACCACAAAGTGAGTTTTCAAGAACTGCTAGCCAGATACCTAACTACAACAGGGACTATAGCTTTTGACAGCCCTGCTTCCAGTGTCAGGGTTGAAACAGAGCCTTAGGACTTTCCAAAGTGGATATGTGCTTCTACAAGATAGTCAACACTCCTTTCATTCCTTGAGGTCGGGAGCATTGCCTGAATCTTTGTAGCCTAGACTCCCAAATGGTATCTAGACTCTAGAAAGTATGTATTAAATAGCTATTCAACATAAAAGGAAATTCAATTTGGTTTATAAAATGGAGAGCAGGTAATACCTTTTTGAGAGTGCTGTATTTGATTAGAATGAAATGTATTATGTAAAAGCCATGATACAAAAATAAGGCCTTACTCTTCATTCAAACAGGACACAAAAGACTTGAAAGTCTCCCTGAACATCATTTTATTTCTGTGATCTAATTTCTTGGTGAGTTTAAAGTAATTTCCACTGATGACACAGGAAGCTCTGATTTACCTTTGTCTTCTTAATCACCTAGGAAATGGTGAGGGGTGGAGTTTATTGCCATTCCGGTTTCTCAACTCTTACTAGGATATAACAAGGGATGAACAAATTTATGATTCAGAAAGATATGGGGTTTATTTGGAATAAAAACACACTAGAAAAAATAGTTACTTGCTTCTTTTAGTGATTTCTCTGACTCCAAATTCCCAACCTACCACCAATTTTGGATGGATTTGCAGGAGAAAATCAAAGGTAAGGCATTAAGAGTATCACAGATGCTTGCTGGCAGAGAACATTGACTAATCATATTTGACAATAAATTATCCAAGAAATTTTATTATCCACTTTGTATGTATGTCTCCCATAGATGAGCATCATTTTAATCTGATATGTTGTGCACAGTGCAGAATTGTATTTTGTATTTATAATTTAAGAAACTATATTTAAAAATTAAGACTTGTATTTATATGACTATGATTATAAGGAAAATTAGAAACCAAACAGATGGTTATTTATATATATAAAAAACCTGTTATTCTGGGAAGGATTTAAAGTTACAAGCCCTTTCCATCTCCATTGAAAAGCAGGAACATAGAATTACTTTAAGAATAATTCTATTTTTCCCAATTGCACTCCAGATTATGTCAAAAGAAAAACATTCAGAAATCTTAAGACTTTTACCTCCTCAAATTTTAGATGGATTGTTTTTCAGAATTTTTCTAATCTACATTATATGAACTCTTTTAGCTGATAAAGCATCCTTCTCAAGAGCTGAGTGGATTTTTATATATTAATACAGATGGCATTTCAGTATGTACCACACTGAACAGAAAAGGAATAATTAATTTTTGTATACCACACAAATATGCATTAAAACACCGACAGTCAATATTGTAGATTCCATGTTATGATTAATTCCAAGAACACAAATTTCTGCCTCTTCAGTGGAAGGTGTATTCTTCAGTTGTAACAACATCCTCAATGAGTTTTCAGTTTATCTTTATCTTGTTCCTTTTGACTGCAAAGTGCAAAAGATTCCTGAACAAACTGCCTGCACATTGGGCACTGCTGAAAATACTTAACACAGCCATCACACAAGCACGTGTGTCTACACGGCAAGAGTACCCAGTTCACAGTTCCATTTTGACAAACAACACAGTCCTTGGTATTCTCCTCAGGAGGCTCTGCTTCACTTTCAGATAGTCCAGCTTTTTCTAACAAACTTCGGTCTATGTTTCTTTCTTCTTGTGAGGAATTGTTGGAGGGAGTGGAATTATTATTTGCAGACATGAAAAGTTGCTGTAAGTCAAAGAAATAAATTTAAAGATAATTACAAATTACAATTATTCTTTAAATCTGGGGTCAGTAGAGATGTTCAAAGTTTATGAGCTAGCTAACCACTAGAAAATAATAGCTAACTTCTATGATAATTAAGTGAAAACTATTATCTCTTTACAAATGTTCATTCTTTGAAACTACAAACAAAAGAGACAGAGATTAAGATTGAAAGGTACAACTTACCTTAAGGTCATGAAATTGACCTTGAGCCAGGAGTAAATATTGATATAATATTCTGCAGGAAAGTTTGTAAGTCTTATCAGGAATATGAATTACTGACACCATGGAAATCTAAAATAAAATTTGAATACTGGTCAGTACTTAACCTCCTTATATTATTTCACAGAAATGCTTCTCAAATATAATTAAGACTTTGGTAAATTTAAAAGCTTATAACTATTTAAATCACAGTCACTAAAGAGGAAACAATTACTGTGATATTTTTACCAGAGTTATTTTAATTATCAAATTTACAAATTTACTGCGAAGCCAACAAAAATACCAATGAGATTTTTTTTTAGAGAGCTGCATGATTTGACTCCAAAATTCCCACATGGAAAAATAATACATTAAATTAGTTAGGACAATACTGAAAAGAAAGCTATGAGGAGGTTAGCCCAGTCAGATATTAAAACATATTAAAAAACCTCTAAAATTAAAAACAGGAACACACAGATGGACAGTAGAGAATAAACAGCCTAGAAGCACACTCAAACTACATATACAACATGGTAAAGGGGACATCTCAAATCACCAGGTAAAGAGAATCTTTTTTTAAAAAATGATTTATTTTTATTTATTTATGTATACAAGAATTGGGGTGTAGGCCAGAGGTGCAAAGTTGAGGGGAGAAGATGAGAGGATTCACCAGAGACAGAGTGGGGAGCAGAACAGGTGCACCTACTGAAATACACTGCTAAGAGGAGCAGCAGGCAGGACAGGAGAGGTCTGCTACAGCATGTGGGTTGGCTCCCTGCCTGAGGATTGAACTCATGCTGCAGCGGCTGGCTATAGCTTGACAGCACTGAGACTTTAACCACTGTACCATCAAGGAGGCCCAAGAGAGTCTTTTTAATAAGCAGTATTGGAACACTGAATAGTTATGTGATAAAATAAGATGCATTCTTCACACCATAGATAAAAATAAACTCCAAAGCATTAAGAGATCTAATTATTAAAAAAAAGAAGTAAATGGCTAATTTCTTACTAGTCTCTGTGAAGGGAAAAGCCTTCTCTTACTCAAACCCTAAGGCAGATAAACTTGACTGCATAAAAATCTTGACTTGCACAACAAGTACCACCATATGCAAAGTCAAAACACATATGACAAAATGAATAAAATATTCTCAATATATACCATAGACCAAAGGTTAATATCTCTAAACTTAAAGCTTTTACAAATTGATGAAAATCCTCTTTAAAAAATGGGCAAAAGATCTGAAGAGACAATTCACCAATATTAAACATGGCCCTGAGCAATATTAAAAGATGTTCAATTTCACTCTCAATATGATAAATGTAAATTAAAACTTCAATGAGGTATCACTTCTCATTCATCAGGTGAAGTAAAATTCAAAAGCTTGTCAAAGCACTCTGTTGAGAAACAGTCATTCTCATATATTGCTGGTGGAAATGTATAGAAAAAAGGTACAACTACAAAAGTAACAACCCCCATGAAAAGAATTTGATTATGTATAACTAAATGACATGCATTTACCTTTATACTATTCAACTTCAACAATATTAAACACATGTGGACAGATTATTCAGAGCAAGATTATTTGCTACTGCAAAATACTGGAAACTACTTGAAAGTCCAGACACAGGAGACTGGCTAAATAACTGTGCACGCACACCCTACATACAACAGAGTGCTACGTGGCTGCGGAAAAAATGTGAGGGAGACCTCTTTGAACTGATTTGCAGCAAATCATAGGGAGTATTATGAAGTGGAAAAAGCAAGAACATGTAGAGCTTTATAAAATATACTACCTTTTGTGTAAGAGGGGAAAATGAGAAGATATAAATCTAGGTCTCTGTATCTTATCACTACAAGGGGAAACTAGAAAATAAACTTGGTTATCTATAAGGATTAGGGTGCATAGGAATGGGGATGTGGAAGAGAACATCTGAGTGTACTTCTTTATATAGTGGCTTGACTTTTGGGAGAACTAATCCAAATAATTATGGATGCAGAGTTTGAACTCTCAGTTGTGGGCAGGAAGAAGAGAATGAGCAGTTTGAGCACTAAAATAATTACGTTCAAAAATGAATTATAAAGCACTAGAGAAAAAAAAGGAATTCAAGAGGTCATTCAGATGACAAACAGATGAACAAATGGGAAGTCTCTTGCTGTAGTAGAGTGCTCAGGGTTAACTGGGAGGCTGGAGTTGGAGAATCATAGTTTTATAGCTACTAAGATACATATAAAATCTGGAAAGAATTGAAGGCTATTAATTCCAGGGGTAAATTTTGATAAAGAGTGGCTATTTGCATGGTCTTAAAGTGCCTCCCCCAGCTACTGATTATTTGCTAGGGAGGGAAAATATGAAACAGTGGAGAAATAACACTTTGACTGAGTGATCAAAATTAACATCATTAAGGAAGGTAAAGAATCCCATGTGCCTAGAGGGGATGCCCTGAAAAGCACACCATCATTTGTGTAGTACACTGGCTGAAAATGCTTAACTGTAATCTAGTCATGGTAAACAAATCAATTCCAATCTAGTCAGACAATAAAGTAAGGCATGTTTGGGGCCTCCCTGGTGGCCTAGGGGTTAAGTCTCAGTGCTATCACTGATACAACCCGAGTTTGATCCCCGGCCAGAGAGCTAACCCACATGGCAGCAGACCTCTGCTGTCTCTCCCGCTGCTCCCCTCAGCAGTGTATTTCAGTGGATCCGCCTGTTCTGCTTCCCACTCTGTCTCTGTTGAATCCTTTCACCCCCTGTACATCTGGCCTACACCCCAATTCTTCTACACAAAAATAAATTAAAAATTTAAAAAAGGGCATGTTTTATTTTACAAAAAAAAGGTGTGTATGAGACTGCGGCTTCAAAAACACTAATGTCAGGCCTTTCTGGTGGCGCAAGGGTTAAGACGCAACCTATGAGCTATCCGCAGCCTCTGCAACATGAGTTCAATTCCTGGCCAGCCAGGAACTCACATGACACAGCAAACCTCTCCTGACTCACCCACTGCTCCCCTCAGCAGTGTACTTTGGTCAATCTGCCTGTTCTGTTTCCCACCCTGTCTCTGGTGAATCCTCTCCCCCCCCCCCCCAGCCTCTGGCCTGTACCCCAGCTCTTGTATGCATAAATAAATCAATCTTTAAAAAAAAAAAAACAAACAACAAAACACAAATGTCATAAAAGAAAAAGTTGTGGAAGTTTCAGAATATAGGAAGCTCAAGATACATGACAAATGCAGTATCTGAACTAGAACCTGTCCTGGTCAGATATTAACAGACAGGCAGTCTAGGGACCAGAACTGCTTATGGCTTTTTAAGATTTAGAGCCCCTCATCCCCAGAAAAAATATTGACAAGCCACATATTAAAACATTATGAAATGCTCAATTTACTTTTCAAATTAAGGACAGAGAACATTAACACAAAATATATTAATAAATATGCTGTATTTCTAACGTTAGGTCCAATCTGAGAAGGAAGAGACAGGGAAGCAAAGAGTAACAGGAGAAAAAGAGAGGATCAGCTGAAAAGAAGAACAAAAGATATAGAGAAGGGCCCATTCAGGGAGGGAATATAAAGGAAAAGCAAAAATGGCTGTTTGGCTATTGAGAGCCTGGGATCAAGCTCCATGGGGCAGGGGGCCGAGGGTGGGGGGGGGGTGGGGGGGTGTGATACGTTTCCCACAACTATAGCCACTTGAATCAGGAACCTGCCAACAAGTCTTTTCCCATTCACAATGCAGTTGAACCTACACTAGAAGGTGGTTAAAATGGCAAATCTTTTATATATATATATATATATATATATATATATATAACCATACTACATAATCCTCTCTCTTTAGATAGAGTGATTAAGTTAAAAAACCAAGCAAGACTCTGAACACCTCAAGCAGGTAGAGTGCACTGTCAGCGAGGGAAGAGGAACCAAAGGGGGAAGCTGGGAAGGAGGTGACTTGAGATCTGACCTTTTTAGTTTTGAATGAAAGAAAATAGGGGTTCTTTGGAGAATTGGGGGACATAGTGATGAGAGAAAGTTTACTTTGCCCAGGTAGGCAGGGTAAAGAAGGGAGAGGCTGGAAATATGAAACACCAACTTAACAGGTTTTATTTATCTTTAGTTGAAAAGGGAGGGAAGGAGAGGGGGGAAGCAGAAGATCTCATGTACACGCAATCAAGTAAGAGTTTTTGTGGCCAGCTCTATGAGGCTTGCCAGCATTGCTGGGTATGATTTTTTCACTTATCAAATCTGTTGAGTACCCACTGTGTTTCAGACACTATGCTAGATTCTGGAAATACACTGTTGTTAGTATGAGTTTTATTTGGAGAAAGCAAGCTGACATCAGTTCCATGAAATTCAGTTTGATTAGATCAAAAGCTAAAAAACTAGAGATGCTTAAATGTGTATGAGCAGGGTCTAGATTTCCCAAAAAGGGTCTGAACCCTCCACAGCTCATCAGACATTGCTTGGAGGAGATATTTCTGTTTTATTTTACAAAGGCGTATGATATAGGACTAGGAGGGCTCAGAGCCAAAACCTAGTTCCATCTCTCACTTCCTGACTGACTGGGGTTTTCCTTCTGACTTATTTCAGTCTTTGCAAGGCGATCTGCCTTAACTTACAAGGTTGTTGTAGGGAATAAATAAGTTAGTGTTAGTGAATATACTTGTATATTACAAAATATCATAAAAATTTATCCTATCTCTATTAATGAACAAATCTACATCATGCACTTCAGAAAATAGTAAATTGTATAGAAGGGTATTCTTACCATGATATGATTGCACCAAAAGCTTATTTCATGTATAAACTTCTACCATACTTAGAGGAATGTCAAGGTTCAGGTCCTCTTACATCTCTAAGATGATTTTATCTTCCTAATAGGGATAAACTACCAGACTAAAGAGATAATTAACATATAATGAGACAAGAAGATTATCATAATCACTGAAAATATAGGAAACAAACATATAGAAGATGTAGGTGCAACAGGGGCTATGATGGAAACAGGATGACTGCAAGTGTGCAAAGGAAAGAGCAGATCCCCTGTGAAAACTAAGCACTTTAGATTATTACAATGTTTAGTCAATGCTAAAAATGTAAATCATAAAGACTATCCAACCGACTTTTTCTATATAGCAAACATGATAGAAAATAGAATGATGATACTAACATAATTCAATTATAACCTGTTTTTATATTTCCTAAATAAAATCATAGTCTTGTAACCCACATTCTTGCAACAATGTAAGAGACACTCTTGCAAAAACAAGTCAGACTCTGAAGAAGCTGTTAAATGTATAAAAATTATACAGGTATACATCCCAAGTATTCACTTTTCAAGGAAAATGTATCTAGGCCAAAAGTATGTCCACAGGAATGAGAGAAAAATTTTCCCTATTTCCCCAAATAATTAAGCCCCATCATCCAAATAACAAAAAGGTAGTGCTTCTGGAATTTAAAATTACTTACAATATCATAAATTTCTCGGTCATCCTCATCTGCTAAGGTCAACAGAGCTACCAATGGATAGCGTGATCTGGGCACTGTACCAAAGTCTTCAATTTTAGTATCTCTTGGTAACTGGCAATATATTTCTTCTTTGCTGTCTTTTTTAATACTTTTTGAAAATGTAAAGGTAAATTGCCACTATAACCAGATATGTAGGCATATACCAAAGATGACAAATAACTTAGCAACACTTTATTTTATTCACGTGCTAATGGATATAGCAGATAAAATGTCTAAATTTTTTAAGTGCTAATGGATATATCAGATAAAAGGATACAAATACTGTTCTTGATAGAGATATTCGCTATATAGCGCATCTTCCAATGCTTGTGGAGTGCTTATTCGGAAGCAATAAAAGTGCTTCTGTAGAGCTTCATATAATTTTTGAACACTGCATCCCCAGTAGCATGTTAGGAGGCTATCTTCAAGGCAATCTGTTGTCAAAGTTATGCCAGCTGTAGAAAACAAATGAGACAAAGACAAGAAAATTACCTAATACAATTATACATAGTGAATAACAAAAGCTTCCTTTTGGACGCTGGCCAGGCTGATGGCAGTTAAAGGAACTCATTAAAGGATATGTGCCTATAAGTGAAGGATCTGGTCTCTTAAAATAAGACACATAAAAACCTCAATGTCTACACAATTTGAAGTGCTATCAATAAACTTTCTTATTATTTATATATTTAAGCTTGGAAATTAGCAATTTTTTTCCAATGACTTTAAAACTTTTCCCACATAAATTTTAAATACTGAAATACAGTTCACTATTGATAACGGACCACTCTAATAGTGTATGTAATTCTAACTACAACAAACAGTAGAGGTGTCTCTTAAGAGTGGGTACACACAACCTTGCAGTCATTAGAAACGGCAGCGCTACCTCCAGGAGGGGACACATGCAACCCGGGGGCTACAAGATGATCACTGGGATAGGAAAAATATTAAAGAGAAATTTGAGCTTTACTAATAGTAGCATATAAATTGACATTCATATACACTTTTGTCCCACAGTTAATGTCCCGTGTAATATGTAATATATCCTGAGGAAAGAGTGAAGATTCTAAAATATGGAGGACATGAGCCATGTCCTCATTTATTTGTTTGCTTTCAGTGTATTAAAAGATAATACAATTTGAATAAACCAGTCTAAGTGGATAACACAGAATATGTAAAAATCTATTCACCACAATCTTTCATAAACTTGTCTACTCTAGAGACTGAGAAAAGAAAGTACTGATTTACACTGCTCAAATAGCTATATTTGTTCTCTCTTCAGTATTTCTCACTTCTTTGCAAATAGAGTTGCCATTCTTATATTTTCTTAGTCTTCCAAAATTCAGGGCACGCACAGTGTCATCTTTGATAAACAGCACTAACAGAATTAGAATATAGCCATACACTGGGAAATTCAGAATCCAAATTAAGCACAGCAGTAATGGGTGATAGCTCTCAATCTGCCGTTACCCACAATATAAGAGACACTCTTGCAAAAACATTTTTTACATTAAAAACCATACTCAAATGAGTCAAACCATTAAGAAAGGAAAAACAATGGGACAGAAAAGTCACAAACCTTCCTGAAGAATTCCAATGAGGAAAGAGATAGTGTACAAGGAGAACTTGTATGAGGATAACGAAACTGAAGTTGAAGATGAAAATTTTAGGTTGCATGCTGTAGCGATTCATACAGTCCTCCAAAAATGCTATCTGTGTTACTTTGCCCAAACCTTTTGCTTTATGTTATTTCTCACAGGGTGAGTAAGTCACAAACCAAGGAAGCTATTCATAAAGGACAGCAGAATTTCCTTTTTCCCCCTTGATTTGTCAATTTTTTTTTTATTTTTTACATCATTTTCCATTTTTGTACAAAGTATGCGTTTTCATCTTGGTTATATAGCAAGGACAGTGGAATTCCTCAACCAAATTAATTCAACTAATACACTGAGTATCATCTTTTAATTTCACTAAAGCCTCTATATTTATGATGGAAACATCATAAATCCAAATAGAGTATCATTACATGACAACAACAAAAATCCCAACAACCCACCCCCAGTAAAAAGAAATCAGTGACTAAGATTAATTCTCTGGTATATTTTTGAGGAAATCAGGTCTCCAGATTGTTCATCTTATCTCCCCTATGTGGCAAGCATCTTGTGTTTTAAACTACAAATGAAATAACCTTTTCAAATGTCACAGTTGTTGCTCAGAATATTATTTCAATGACTGAATTAGCTATCTTTAATGACACTATGAATGAACAAATTAAATTTTATTTTGCCAAATACAATTCCCACCAAAATTATTCTTATTTCCCAATAGGAGAAAGATAATGAATAATGTGCATTTTTAATGCTACTATGGTGACCACTTAGTGTATTGGGTATTGCTGAGAGGTCTTCTACTTACTGGGTGTCTTATTCTTTGCTTCTAACATTTACAGGCAGGCTCTATTTGAGACTATTTCTACCTGACAGGCAGAATGAGGTATCCCTCACACTCAGTGCTTAACATGTTTCCTGTTTGTTTGCTCACAGTGTATCAGTTCTTACTTTTTCAGCATTTCCAAGCTGTATAGCAGGAAGCACAGCTTTGAACTGGTAGATTTTTTTATTGGCAGTTCTGCTCAGCAAGATATGACAAATAGTAGGTCCAAATGCATGGTCACACAGGTCAGAGGTCTTAGAATCACCATTATTCTATATATTTTAATCAGGCAAGTCCTCTAAACAAGGTAGTTTTCTCTGTCATATCTTGAAATTTGGTCCTCCAAAGTGAAAAACGTCAGAATGAACCCTCTTATACACCACTGGTTTTAAAAAAAACAAAAGACCCTTTGCTCTTTTCAATTCACAAGGTAATAGTGTAAGATTTACAGCTAAAGAAGCATAAGAAATTGTTTACTTTTTCCTAGTAAATCAATATTTAGTTAAGATTAACAATCCCTATGGACTAAGTATACTGATACTTGACAAGCGATTCTGGAAGTCAGAGACAGAAAGACAAGTAAACAAGAATGGTCACAGGTACTAAGGGAGCTGGGTGTTAAGAAAGAAGACTGGTCAAGTCCATTAAGTACTGAAGAGCTAGCACTAATTCAGGCTGAGAAGTGTCCACTGGAATTTAAACCTGCTTGGGGTTAGAAATAGGAAGCAGAAGTGGTAATTAGTGAAAAGCCATTTCAATAAAGGAACACAGGCAAAAGTTAGACTGCGCTGCTCTGGGGAGCAAAAGTGAAGCAAGATAGGAGAATAGAACATTAGCTAGAATAAGATAAAAAGCTGAGAAAGTTTTGGGTTGTTTATTTTTAAGAGAACAGAAATGTGAGCATGTATAAAAGGTGATAGGTTCTCAGCCCAGAAATCTCTGCAGATTATATCTATACTACACCTAGAACCACCTAATCTACATCTGTACTCAACACACAGAAGCATTTCAAGGTCCCTAAGTTCAAAACTAAATTCACTACCTTTCTTCTCCAACCTGCTCTTCCTCTTGCATTCCTGATCTCAGAAAAAGGATCTGTCTGTGAGGGACACAGGCAAGGAAACTGCATCTTCCTGAATCTGTACTCTCTTGCCTGTACTACTGTATTTTACCCTTAACAAACAACTTAGTATTTCTCTAATGTGTATACAAAGAGAAAATTTTGGAAAATAGCCACCAACTTGTAAGTGAAGCTGAAGATGGATTAGTGATCTCTAAGCCGAAAGGATTCTTGACTTGTCTCATTTGCTTTTTGAAAACTCTTGTGTTGAACTGGGTCTCTTCTGAATTTCTCAGAATTACTGGAACATCCCAACCAAACCTGAAGAAAGATAAAAATAAAGCATAATCTTAACAGATGCTAAAAATGTAATAGGTAAAGAATATTGTGCTTCATTAATTAGTCCTTTTAACATAAGTATCAGAAAAAGATTATTTCCCAGTTTACATTATATTGCAAAATTAATTTGGACTGACAAGATCAGATATCCCACAGAACTGCAATATATTGTTCAGTTGATTCAATCAACATACTCTTGAAAACAATTCTAGTGTTGATATAATTGAATATTGCAGAAGCCAATTGATTATAGATAAATTATATCTTATACAAAGCAAAAACATGATTGAATTATTGAATTTTTAAAATGATGTGGAAAACAAATATATTTAATATATTAACTGTTTTGATTTATGGGACAACTTTCAAATACCATATATGTTTACAAAATAAATGTTCACTTTTAAATTTCATATAAAAATGTAACGATATAATATAAAGTGGGGGGAACCTCCTATTAAAATTTAGGTTGCAAATAAAAATCTCAAAACACATGAAAAAATCTAAGGCCAAGAGAAAGCCAAAAAATTAACAAATGGGATAAAATTTTACTCTAGATGAATTTAGTTTTATACAAAGGTTAGATAAGGCTGCTTGGGTGCTGCCCCCAAAAAACTGGAAAACAAAGCCTCTTGTAGATCAAAGTGTTTCTAAGTAAGTTAACTGTATTCCAAAACAAAGTCAAGAATATTTTCCTGAATGCAAAAACACCCAGCACCCAATAAGACCAAATCTGACAGAAGCAGGGATATGTTGTAAGGTAGTTTTATTTGCTACTATACAACATTATCTTTGAAGTTTTCCATGTACAATAGTTAGGTAATTTTTTTGTGGCTATATAGTATTCTGTTGTATAAAACTGCCATAACTTGTTTACTCATTCTATTTTTTTAAAGATTTATTTATTTATGCACATAAGAACTGGGGTACAGGCCAGAGGTGCAGAGGGTGAGAGGATTCACCAGAGACAGAGTGGGGAGCAAAACAGGCAGAATGACTGAAATACACTGCTGAGGGGAGCAGCGGGAGAGACAGGAGAGGTCTGCTGCACCATGTGCATAGCTCCCTGGCCAGGTATCGAACTTATACTGCAGTGACTGTGGACAGCTTCATAGGTTGCATCTTAATCCCCTGCGCCACCAGGGAGGCCCCTACTGATGCTATTCTTTTTTTTTTTTAAAGATTTATTTATGTATGCATACAAGAGCTGGGATACAGGCCAGAGATGCAGGGGGTGAGAATGATTCACCAGAGACAGAGTGGGGAACAGAACAGGCAGACTGACTGAAATACACTGCTGAAGGGAGCAGCGGGCGAGTCAGGAGAGGTCTGTTGCACCATGTGGGTTGCTCCCTGGCCGGCTGGGGATAGAACTCATGCTGCAGAGGCTGCGGATTGCTTCATAGTGCGGTGCTTAACCCCTTGGCCACTAGGGAGGCCCCCCTCATTCTATTCTTAATGGCCACTTAAGTTGTCCTCACTTTGGTCATTGTAAATAGCATGTACATGAATGTTTTCATACAAAGCTCTCAAGTGCATGTACATGTGCATGCATTTCTACTGGGTACATGCCAGAAAATGGAATTTCTTAGCTGTAAGGCCTGAAGTTCTTTGATTTCAGTGGATAATACTAACAATTCCATGTCATCGTATCAATTTACAGTCCAAAGTAAACCACTAGAGCACTGCTTACCAGCAATGATGGCGTGTCCCCCTCAATCCAGAGCTTTGCCAAAAACAATGCTGCCATCCTAGTAGGTGACACTGCATTGTTGTAGTTTTAATTTCTATTTTCCTGATATTAATGAGGTTGAGCTCTTTTTCTTATGTCTGTTGCTACTTGAATAGGCTCTTTTATGAAAGCCCCTTTCAAGTACTTTTCCAGTTTTTCTACTAATCTGCAATTTTTACTTCTTTATAGAAATATTAATGTGACTTTTGTTTAAATATATCTTCAGTCTTTCTACAGCTTGTGTTTTTCATACTCTTTTCATATCTTTTAGTGAACATAGTTCTTAATTTTAACACAAAGTTATTAACTTTTTCCTTTAAGGTTAATACTTTTGCTCTAGCTTTTCTCATTACTGCCTTATCTAATTTATGTCCGAACACTGCTACAGTCTTAATTACCATCTTAGAAATTTTTGTATTCTTGACCTCTTAAAGGAGTCAGCCAAGCAGTTCTAAAGCAGCCAGTGCTTACTTAGTCAAGGCTCTGGGTCCAGCGTGGATGTTGCCAGTCCTATTCCCCTGCCATCCTCATGATTTGGAGAGAAAAAAGGAGAGGGGAGAATTCACTGTAATAGAGTGACATCATAGGCTGGCCACACCCCTTGTCTTATGTGTAATGTAATCTAGATCACGTAAGTTGTACTTTTTGGCAGCTGACACACTGATGACTCACCTTGAGCTTTCAGCCTAGTATAATTTGACACCTTTTTACATTTACCCAGCATGAACTTGCTCATTTTTGCATAAAAATCCACAACCCTCACAGTTTCAACTTATTTGATGTAGACCAATAGTTCTAACTTTAATGTACTACTCAAAAGCAGAATAAATAATATGCAGAAATGATTTGGAGTAGGGTAAAAACTGGACACTGGATGGATAGCAATCCCTAACTGGTGCTGACAAATGGCTCTGTAAAATACTGGTAAGCAGACCCAGTAATACATTTCTGGTCTCCATCCTTACATCTGGCTTTTTCCACATTTTTAATCAAAAACTTGAATAAAAACATTGATGTTTTATGTATTAGATTATACTGAGGTGATAGTAGAAGGAAGAGTAAAATTGAAAAGTGATCAATTTTCATTTCAATCAAGTCCCATCTTTGTTCACTCAGTCTTTTTGGACACTGTTAGTATGAAATACAAATGAAATAAATGTTTCTTAAAATTCCTTCTCTTCTATATAGCCCCCTTTCTCCATTTCTAAATTGTTTTCCATTTCTAAATCCATACTGCTTAAACTTCAGCACAGCAGTAACTTGCAGACAGCTAATTCTAACTTCAGTTTTTCATATGCCCATAGTCTCTTGCTCTGCACACCCTTCTGAAGCTTATCAGTAGCTGATAAATAGGATCTGACCTCCTTTCCTTGTGTCTAGCGTCTCCTGGAGTCTCTCATGAACAAAGGTTACTTTGAGGCTAAAATTTTGACCTCAGAAGCTTACGGCTTTTATCACCCCTTCAGCCTTGAGCCATAACGTCAATTAGAAAACACACAGGCAATTGTTAAGGTGGGGGTAGGGGGGGAGGGCTTCTCTCCTATGTAGTCTCCCCAGGCTGCTCTCACTTGGTTAAGCAGATACTGAGATGAGGTCAGCATATAAAAAAACCATTCATGGGGAAATGATTGGTAGAAGAGGAGGGTTATGTCTGAGGGAATTGCTATGTTTTTTTGACTTTGAGAAAGTGAATCAATCTTCTAGAATTCTGTGCCTTCATTGTAAAAAGAGTTAGACTAAGTGATCTTAAGGTCCTACTAAGGTCTGAGATGCCATTTCTAACAGTCCTTTCTTCTTCTGGATTGTTCCAAGTAAATTCTTGCCAATCCATGTGTCATAGATTTTGTACCCAATGCAAGTACAAACTAAAGTAATATTCTTTTTCTTAAAAGGGATCTGTACCCCATCACAGACACAACCTATTGCACTCAACAAGTGAAATGAGGAATAGTCAATGTCATTGTGTCAGGCAGGGTCAGCAGGAGACAGAAATCACATGAATTATTTAAACAGAAAGAATTTAATATTAAGAATTGTAAACCATGACAGGAAAATTGAAAAGGCAAGAGGGGGAAACTGAGATATCCTAGCAGAAAGTAGTTATCACTCCTAGGGCTGGGGAAACAAAAGGAAAAGTGGGTTATTACACTTGGAGAAGGGCTCCCCCAGAGCTGGGACGCCGACCTTTGTGGTAGGAGTGTTGGCAGGCTGAGCTGATATCTCTGAAGGAGTATGATAAGACTTTTCTAGGCATAAGGAAAAATTATAAACCAAAAACTAACTGCTTTACTCTGCCAATGGTCCCTGCCAGGGTAAGCCAGTGCTGTGGGAATGCAGACCAGCAAAAGGAAGCAAACCACTAAGAGGAAATCCATTTTCCTCCTTAAGCATTTCAGTTTCTTTCGAGCACTCTATTGATAGAGCCAAAAAAGGGAGCAAACTAATACAAGAGAAATAGGGTCTGCAAAGTCTCAACCCCTGAATCACAAAGCCGAGTCTCTAACAGTGTGTTTGTAGTACAGAGATGAAGATCAGGATGGTGATTCAGTATGTCCATGGCATAATGCTACAGGATTCGGAGTCCGTCCTCAAGGGAACCTGACCTCCCCTTCAATCCAAGGTTCCAAAACTAAGGATTGGTATAGTTCTGGAAACTGGGTAAAAGTACATAACTCTCCATTATTGTGGCTCAGTTCAGGTTTCAGGATTGAGACCTAGAATTTTTCCTTCTATGTAGTTCATGTAACATTTGGTAGACCAACTATTTTTTTTATTTCTAACCCATTAGCCACTGTCAAAGAGCCCTGCAGGCTAACACATCCTTATCACCCTACATCCACCTTAACTCCTATGGTTATGTGGCGCCAGTGGACCTCAACTGATGAAATCCACCCTAATGAAGTTCCACCATCATAAACAGCCTAGAGAGGACAGATGCCAGAGATATTCAAGGAAACCAGGTTTTTCTCTGTAATACATTTTTCAGTGAAAGGTGTGTCTTCTATCTTCTCTTGAAAGATACAGCAGGGAATGGGTGTACATGTTGCACATAATAAATCCGGTCTAATATTCCTGTCTCCCTAAACCTTCAGATTCTTTCCTCATAATGCCAGTAAAGTTCTGGCACCTCAACCTTATTAAATATAGGTCACCTCTGAGTCCTAGTTTCAGTCAACCAAGAATGAATTAACTCGTTAATATCAGAATTTCTGGAAACTATACCCAATCAACAAATTCGATCTGATCTAGTATTACATTCTACCTTCCATAGCCTAACATACTTACCACCTATTCTCACACATACCCCTGAAGTTCCCACTGAGAGAAACTAGCAAAGGCTATTTCCAAACAGTTAGATTTTGTCCCTGCTCTAGGAGCATAATGAGAATATGGGTTCAGGACAAACAGTAATAGAGATAAGTCTTGAGTCTAGTCGCCCTATGCAAAGCAATTGCCCAAGACGAGGTTATAACAGGATCTTCAAACAAGGGAAGACTAGTTTCCCAGACACAGAAAGCAGGCTGCTTCCATCAACAAGGGAGCAGCTGGGTTTTCAAGATTCTGAAGTTTTGTTCAAGTCTACTTAGATAGTCCCATTTTAAGACTCAGGGCTTCGTACCAACCAGTGTTCCAAATGAGATATTGACAAGGGTATGGTTTCTATTACCAGTGTTCAATTTTTAGCTCTATGGCTGTAAGAAATAAAGTGCTTTAGAACCATAGGAACTCTGATTCTCTTGACTTGATCTGAGAGTTTTAAGATCTGATTTGTCATTCTCTTTCGGTAAGTACTCCAGTGAACTCAGAAGCAACCATCCCACTTCTTCCTCAGTCCTTCCCACTGTCTTACTGTCATAGTTGTCAAGTGTTTTAGCCACTTGCTGCCCCAAGGCACTTAATTCAGATAGCATATTATCACAATCAATTAAAAGTAGTAATCTGATTAATTATGATACCAGTGCATGCTATAGATTACTAGAATCTTATTTTTCATTGTCAAGGACCTATAAAGACCAAACCAATTTCCAAATACCTTTTTTGGGGCTTCATCTTCTTCATCCTATTCTTAGTAATAATTTTTTATCAATACCCATATTAATCCAGTAAAGAGACTAAAGCCACACCAGTTACTTCAATGGAGAATTTAAATATATAAAAATAACTTAACAGATATTGAAGAACTGAAAAATGCAAAAAGCTGATACTGAGTATCAAAGAAGCAGTAAGAGTAGGAAGCAGCTATCACTTCTAGAACAGGAACAGAGGACAGAGAAATACTACAGTTTAGAAATCTGGAGCTGGCCGTGGAGCTTGAACTCAAATGTGAGGAAAGGGTGATATCTTTGAAAAGGTACAAATGAGGTTGGTTCTAAGAGGGTAGAAAACTGTAACTTGCAAAAAAATGGGACCCAACTGCCAAAGTGATGGGCTACTGCTGTTGTGAGCCAGACAAGAAAAAGAACAAAACAGGAAGCAGTAAGTCCTTTCATCCTTTTCCAGCCTTCAATTTCCCTCCCCAGGTGGCAAGCCTCATAGGCAGCCAGCTAGAAAAGAAATGTGGTTAAGAGATCCTGCCCCAGATTCACAAAGCAGAGTAGACAAGAAGCTGAGAGGATAGTTTAATAACCTGTAGTCAGGAATAAGCAAAGAGGAGCTACCAAGTCAGGGTGCTGGGTTATTTGCAACCATTACAAAAAAAGATGTACATGGCATTTTGGTCTCCTTTTTTGCACAGTGCTTGGCAAATAGCAACGACAGTAAATTTGAGTTGTGAGTTACTAGAGTTCAGCAACCACCACATACTTAAATAAAAATTCATGAACAGTTCCATGATTCTTTGTTATTGCTATTGAGATTTCATTATCAAGCACTCTGACTCTCCCTGGCCACACAACACAGGTGGACAAGGAGAGCAGCAGAAAGAAACTCAGAGTAGTACAGAGATAAAAGCCATGACAGAGAGGACAGATGACCAATAGGGATTATGTTTTAGGAGGTTAAAAAAAAGATGACAAGTGGGTTAATGGGTTTACTTTGAGCTTGGGATTCTATTAGAAGTTGTTTTTATGAGATCTAGATTGTGTTTTCATTATTTCTAGTTGATGAATCTGTGGTCTTAAGTTAGCAAATGAACACTAGTAAAAAGTTTATCTATGTGAGCAAAGCTAACCCACATGGAATGATTGGGTTAGGCTTAAGGTGACTTTTAGGCCCAAATCAAAATGGAAATGACTGGCACTTACAAGGTCTTGGAATTTCAGCCATGCTTAGCCAAGACTTCTAGAAGTTCTACAGTTACCTGGGATTCCATCTTTGTAAAAGTCATACCTAATTAGGGTGGTCAGGCAATCATTAAGATTTCACACCAAGTCTTAAATTTGGTAGTGCCAAGACTGGAATCTGGGTCTGCTTGACTCTAAAGTCTGTCTCTTAATCACTACAAACAAATTTCCTGACTGCCCTTTACCCACAGATGCCACCCACCTTATTAATTGGGTGTTCACTCATTTTCCTCTTCCCATTACTAAAGATAGATATCTAAGATATCTAACTAGTTGGCTTATTTAAAATAAAAATGTAAGGATATAATCCATTATCAAATAGTTACCTATTTTCCTTAGTGAAGGAAAATTCATTTTATTAGGGGAACACTAATATTACAGTCATTAAAAAATCTTGTGTTAAGATTATTTTACTTACTTGAGCAATATTTTCCTAATTCCAATTACAAAGTACCTTGAAATGAACAACATTGATAAAATCTGATGGGCCAAGAACAACTAATTCTAAGATTGTTCTTAATCTTCCTCCACCACAACAAGGAATTTTATGTTCCAATTTTATGTGGCCAGATATTGCTGGCCAGGTGGAGAACAGTGTGAAAAGTTTACAACTGTTTAGTTCCTAAAGTTGCCATACAGTTGCAGAAACTAACAAGGGCTTGTGTCCTTTCTTTAAAGTAATGACATATATGAGCCATCCAAAGGATATTTTTAACCTCCCTTTGCACAGCTTGCTCAACTCACTAACACATCTCCTCTGCAGCTCTGTGAATGTTATGTTACCTGAAAGGCCTTCTTTTCTCTACAAGACCCATTTAACTCGACTCAGTTTTCAAAATACTCATTCTCAAAATCCAGCTCATGTCTCTGTCCCCATCTGACAGAATGATAAGATGGTTTCATGTAGTTATATTTAAAAGGCTTCTCTAAACATGATACAATTGCATCTCCTCAAGAGAGAAATTTTAGAATCTCAGGGTAGAAGAATTGCTCAGGGATTATCTAACACTCCATTCTCCTTGTCTCCAACAGGTAAACTTCCTCTCTCCCTCAGTGCCACTTATCTCTAAGGTCTCTTTCAGCTCTAAAATTAGGACTTTATAGTTTTTCCAACTAAACATTACTTCAAAAAGGTGTGGAATGTGTGCAGAAACCATTAAATCCTCAACGACAATAGTGTTCATTTATAAATTATGCTGAAAGATAAGTGGCCGAGTTCTCAGTTTAGATGAGAAAAACAATTAACCTTGTTTACTGCCTACATCTGAGCGCTGCCCACAGTGACGGATTCACGCTGGGCACACAGTAGACCCCAATCAGACACAGACGCCTGTTGGACAAGCATTCTATCCCAACACCAAGACCAGGGTCTTCCTGACTGCTTTATTACCTAGAAACAAAGCTGGGCAAAATAGCTTTCAACCCGGCACCATCACCAGATGTCCTCTGCGACGGGGACAGGACAGTGATGCAGTGTGCGGTGTACACCTTGTTTTCCTCCCGGAGTCAGCCGTGGCCGGGGGCACGGACTCCGCGGCACCTCCAGGTATCCCCGTCTTGCAGTCCCCTAGCTCCACTGTCCCCTGCTGCTTGCCACGACCCCACTCCCCAGCTGTCTGCCCCTTGGATGCTTGCCTCTGGCCCTGGGGCACTTACCATCCCAAGACCAGGCCAGTGGTCACGACGAAGCAGGTAAAGACCACTGCGATGTAGAAAAGCGGCGAATACTCATAGAGCGTTACTAGAAACACCGCAGCCATCAGGGTCTCCCAGGCTGAGCTGGGCTCAGCAGCCCAGCTCAACCTAAGCCAAGCCAGCCTAGCCCAGCCCGCCCGGTCCGGGGACGGCTACTACGGTGCCCCGCAGCAGACAAACTTCGCAGGCCCGCACTCGCTGGAGGTTCTCGTAGGCTAGACGTCCGGGCAGCCTCGCTGGCTGCGGGAGGCAGCGGGCCAATCACCACGTTCCCTGCAGCGCTCGCCCCGCCCCTCCCGCGCGCAACCCAAGATAGAGACATCGTGGAGGGGCGGGGCTTCCGCTAGCACCGCCCCCCGCCCCGCGGGATTGGTGCCACAGGCGTCTCCTCCTCCTGTCTGTCCTAGCGGGTCTGGCTTTTCTGCGGCAAATTCTAAATCGAAATTGGGGCCAGTCCGTTCAGCGCTAAAGCAACGTTATCTGATGCCAGAGAGAGGAGGTACAGTCCGAAATCCACGTCCCAGATTCTAAATCCTGAAACTCTGCATATTGGATCCTAGGCAAATTTGGGAGGATAAGGAGGGAGAGGAAGAGGGAAGTGGGCATCTTGGGTTCTGCAAAGTGAAATAACCGCATCTGCTCTTGTTTTATCTGGAAGACTTGCAAATTGGCACTGTGCAAAACACCAGGAGTCCCGCAGCAGTCTATAAGGTGCTTGTCAGCTCTTTCAACTGGAATTTAATGATAGAGGAAAATTAACATTGGGAAGGGAATATTCTCAGGAAAAAAAGTGAATTGTCCTCTGTCCCTTGTTTTTCTTCTTCCACCACACCCTGCAAATTAAAACTAGATATTTTCACATTTTGGTGTTAATTTTAACTTTAATAATTTTAAAAATGTAACTGACTTCCTTAAATGGATTAATTGAGGTAAAAGCAGAGCTTCTAAGTACAAGAAAGAAGCAGAAAGTGCTCACCCCCCTCTCCTCATTCCCAGCAGTCAGCTCTGTCAAGGTAGCCTAGCTGGGAGTCTCTCACAACATTTTCACAGGTATTTTGTTTGTTTGCGTTTAGTCCCATGGCCACATCTAGCTACCAAAGAGAGAGGAAAATGTAGTCTTATTCTGAGCGGCAACATACTCTGCTACAAATCAGGGTTTTGTTTCAAGGAAGAAAGGGACAAAGGATGGCTAGCCATGATGTGGTTCAAGACTACCACGTCACCATTAAAATTAGTATTGGAGAAAAACAGGCTAAATTTGTTCTATGGCTTCACGTATTCCTTGGCGAATGACCATATATTCTGTCTGTTTTGGAACTGTGCTGTGTGAGAAGCTTATTTCAACAACATAATTTTTAATGACTACATATTTGATTTACAGCTGTTTAATTAGCACTCAGTTGGAAAAATTTTTATTATAAGAACAACACAATGAACATTCTTAAAATTATATAATTTCTTAAAATAAATTCGTATAGGTGGAACTTATGGTTCCAAAATTATGTACATAATTTTGAACCCACATGTCTCTTATTCATTCAGAGCAACATTCCATTGGCAATGCTAATTGGAGAAACACTGCTTTCCAGAACTGTGCCAGTTTATGCTCCTACCCCTTCATCCTTGTTTTTCCCACCATTTCTTATTGTAATGACAAAAATCTTGGCCAATATGAAAAGTAATTTTATTGCACTAAACAATAAATATTTTCATAATGAAAACAAAAATGTCGGGAACTTCAGGTTAAATTAGTATGTTAAACATATGCCTATAATTTTGCTTCTTCCCCAAACTCCACTAAGACTATAGTAAAAGGTTTTTTAAATAAGCAAAAACAAGAACAGGAAATAAAATAGCAGAAGCAATATAATGAAAGATGGAAAACAGATGAAGAAGGATAATTCACCAACCAGATCTTGAAAGCCAAATCCTAAACCAGCAGTGGAGAAAACTGAGACTAACCTAGTTTACACTGCAAAATTCTCAAAAAAGAACAGGAATTAGCATGAATTCAATTCAAACTCTTATTGCCATTTGGATATCTGCTACAATCATCAAACCTTGTCACTTTACTTCTAAAATAGATTCTCTCTAATACATTTTGTACAGTGTTGGAAAAATGATTTTTAACACATCTTATTTTTTTAAACACATATCTATCTCACTCCACTGCTGAAAATTCTTGATTCTCATACTAAATATCTTTGAAGATAAAATCCCAAGTTCCTTATCTGGCCTATGCATCTCTACATGACCTGGCTCCACATATTTCATACTTATTCATTCTGAATATGCCAGACACTGTAGAAAGCATTAAGAACACAATAAAAAAAATGGCACATAACTGTTCTCATGAAGTTTATTATCTAATGGGAAAGACAAACATTAACCAAAGATTTTAAACAAAACAAAAAAGCAAAATTACAGTAAGTACCATTAAAAAGAGGTACATGGAGCTATGAGAACATACAATACAGGAATGGAGAAATAACATAGATCAGGGAAGGCTTTCTTCAAAAACAGATGATCAAGTTGAAAGCAGATAGATAGAGGAATACCAGGCAAAGAGACAGGAGGGTAGGAAGGACATTTAATACAGCAGCCACAGCTTGGGCAAAGGCTGAGAAATCAGGTTAAGAAATCGTAGGATACCTGTGAAAATGAAAGGTTGGGATGGTTAAGTTGTGGAGAATGAAAATGTGAAATAAAAATGGGGAGACAACTAGGGTCCAGACCACACTGGAATCTTGCCATTTTAACTACTCGATTTTCCCCTAAGAGAAGTCACTGTTGTTATTGAAGAAGAATATTATGTACCAAATTGTGTTCCCTCTCTCCAACCTGGAATTCATATGTTGAAGATCTTACCCACAATGTGACTATATTTGGAAATAGGGCTTTTAAAGAGGTAATTATGGTTAAATGGGTTCTTAAATGTAGAACCCTAATCCAACAGGACTGGTATTCTTGTTAGAAAGAGACCAGAGATAGCTCTCTTTCTGTGTATGGGTACAGAGAAAAGATTATGGGAGGACACTCTGAAGTGTCCATCTGCAACTCATGGAGAAAGGCCCACTAAAAAGTCTGCTGGCACCTTGGATTTCCAGCCTCTAGAATTGTGAGAATATAAATCTGTTTTGTTTTAGCCCTCAGTCTGTGGTATTCCACTAGAGCAACCTGGGCAAACTAATATAGGGCATGACAGCTAGTTGCATTTTGAATTAATCACTTTGACTATTGTGGAGCTCATTGGAAGGATGCTGGGATGGATATGAGTCAATATCTCCATATCATATCAATTAATATACTCTTTCAAAAGTCCAGGCAAGAAATATTGGTAACTCTTATTAGGAGAGGGATGAGGACTTGCAATAAGGTGGATGATTAATTAGAAATGAGTCATCTTATGAAGGACACAATTAATAAATACTTTAGATAGAAGCTTATTTCTCTTTCAGTGAAAGTCCAGAAGAAAGTAATGCAGGTCTGATACAGTGATCCACCGTGCAAGGCAACCAGGCATCCGTTTTCTCCATCAGGTAGCCTTATTGCTAAGATGCCAATGCAGTTCCAGCCATCAGGCCAGCCAAAGGCAAGGCCTTTCCTCCTTGCTCAGAGGGAAAGCAACTTCCAATCCAAATCTCTTCAGATTTTCCAATACCACCCCTACTTGGATGCTTTACCAAACCCCTTCCCGCCTCCACCTCTGAGACGCCAGCCTGAGCAGGTTAAGTTTGACTGTCTGCTGCCCTTACTCTAGCCCCTTCTCCTTCCTACACTCCACCAGGCCAGAAGGGAAAGACTCCCTCCTTCCCACTCAGCAGGTACTTTCCTTATGTCATAGTCTCACTTTTCTCTACAATATGGCATATATTAAATGCCACTTTTAACTTTGCCAAGGTCTGGATTTTGAAATGTTATTGAAGACTTACAATTTTATTAAAAAAAAAACACAACAACTTACTTTTAGTAGTGCGTGGCGTTTTCAAGATTACAGTGCTTCTGGGGAGTCAGAGATCCTATTTTAGTTGGCAAAGCTGCTTTCTTCCTTTTTGTTTCCTGACATCATATTTCTGTTCATCCTTTGACACTGACAGATGTTTCTAGTCAACCAAGGAGAGGGTCTCATAAGAGAAATTAAAAAAAAAAAAGTCACTGTTTTCAAAACTTGTTATCTCCATTATACAGTTTTCTTGAAGCTGCCAACCCTTTCATCTACTTTATATGAACTTTCTTTATCCTACATTATTACCTGTAAGGGCAAATTTTTTCTATTTTGAAGACAACAATAGGAATTAATAAGTGTCATAACTGTGAGTATCCATCTTTGAGATAATCACTACACAATAGAATTACATCAATATACAGTTTGCATGGGATGCCACAGATGACCTAAGTTGTGAAAAATCTTATAATACCTTGGTAGACCTAACAGCCTAACCCTTTGTAGCTCACTGAAGTTCCAAGTCCCTCTAGTAAAAACTCTCCTGGTCTGAAATGTTGGGCTACTGTTATCTAAATATTCTAAGAGGCAAGAGGTTATCAGAAAACTGCTCTAACTGAGCAACACTGACAATATGTGTGGTACTTGGTCTGTGGCCCAAAGCGTAAGTCATTTATCCAGAACAGTTCTCATTCTCAACTGGGGGGGATCCGCCACCTTCCTGCTCCAGCTTCCCCCTATAATAACAGGACAAATTCTGGACTTATTTTGGTTGTCACAATTAGGCAGATGCTTCTACCCTCTAGTAGGTAGAGGACAGGGATGCTGCTAAACACCCTATAATGCATGCACAGCCACCCACAAAAAGAATGATCTGATTCCAAATATCAATATTGGGGAGGTTGATAAATTATGGTACAGAATATTCTATGGTTTCTGGGAATTTCTCACAAATCACTCTTTCCTCTTTTCCAGGTCCTATCTTCCCTGGATGGCTATCAAACATCCGTTTTGCCCCACCATGTAGCCTTATTGCTAAGATGCCAACGCGGTTCCAACCATCAGTTTCATCTTCTAGAAGAGGCAAAGGCAAGGCCTTTCCTCCTTGCTGAATGGTGTCCTTGCTTGCGTCTCCACTTCCCACAGTTGTTTCTTTCTTTTTTCACACTATTTTAAATCTTAATTTTCAATTTATATGCAGTAAAATTCAACAATC